ACACACACACACACACACACACACACACACCACATGCACCACTTCCAAGGCTTCTCTGGAAATATAATCTCTACCTGCAACTCTTAAAATCTCTAGTTTCCTTCCAAGTTCAAGTCAAAAGCTATCTATCGTAAAAGGCCTTTCTAGATTCCTCCATTCGCTTAGCATCCCTCCGTCTGCCCCTTTATCTATGTATCTATGTATCTATGTATCTATCTATCTATCTAATCTATCTATCTATCTACTTTGTCTAAATTTTGTATTGACCCCTGTACCTAGTGTTTTCTTCCAGATTGAATATAGGTTCCTGGAAGGCTATTTTATTAAAAACAGCCTGACCGTATTCATTTTGATATCACTAGTAATTTTCTCCCTACATTTCAGCCTATCTTTAAATTATAAGGCCCAAGGAGAAGAAAAAAAATTAAAACTCAAAAATTTATTTTTCCTTAAGCTAGATTTTTCCATTCATCGCTAATCAAGATAATTAAAATACTTTGGCTTGATTATTCTCTGAGGTTCCTGATGTAAACTAGGAAGGAAAATTTCATGTCTGTTGATTAAGTGGTCCCTCTGCCTTCATTCAAAAGCAGGATAACATTTATTAATTCAATCAAATGACCCTATAGTAATGCTTACAGGCAGCAAGCCTACTATTCTAGATCTATATTCGATATTAATGTTCCACTTCATACCCCAAAGCTAATTTCCTGGAAGCCAGATAGCGAGCATCCAACTTTTTGACAGAGACAATTTGTCAACATACTCTAGGCTTTTTTAAACCAGGGCTACAGTTGATAGGATGTGTTAGATATCTTTCCGAAATAGTTATGATTTGAGAATCCTTTTTAAAGTATGAAATAAGCTTATGTTTATCCTTTGCCAAAGGCATGTATCAAAAAAATCCTGATTAGATTCTATTGATTGTGAAGAACAGACAAGTAGGGTTTTTCAGGTAGCTAATGAGTAAGCTAATAATTTACTATATTTGATTGATTGATTCAAACATGGTGGTAGTAATAAGAAGGAGAATTTAGTTTCATATAGTAATTTATATGGAGATAGTCTGACACAGCCATCTGGCCTTGCGGTAAAGGCTGAAGTCTTATCCTCTGATACAACTAAACGTGTAGCCTCTCAGTACCCCAGGGAAATCTGTAAGACTAGAAGTACCATAAAAATTATGATTAAGTTAGAGATGAATTGCTGATCCAGCATGAAATAATTGGTCCAACTTTCACTTCTGCATGACCCAACAGAGGACTTTATGGTTTATAAAGCATTTTTTTTCATACGTTATCTCATTTGTTCATTAGGACACCTTGAGGGTTAGGTGGTAATAACTACTACCCTTTGTTTTATTTTTTATAGGTGTGGAAAGTAAGGCTGAGAGCATCTAAATAACTTCACTAAGTGGGGTGGTGGTGGTAGAGACCTGAAAACAAGTTTTCTTTGGTTCAAATTCTTTCTACCGCACTGTCCTGATCCTCTGAGGAAGATAATTACAATAGCTTCTAGTGCTCCTCTCTCAACAAAACAAAACAAAAACAAACAAAAACACAAACTACACACACATCATATGGGGAAAGTATAACTTTGTAGAGGTATATTACAGTGAGCAAAGAACAGGTCCACACATGTCATAAAGAATGAATTAAATTGTCTTTCCACAAGGGTATTTCAACAGAGGTTTAAAACTCAGTGAAAGCTGAAATAACTGCATAGTGTTGGAAGGACAATCCAAATAGAGTGTGTTAGGAATGGAAATCTCTGCAGATCAGTGAGAATAGGTCAGTGGAATCAGGACTAATGGATATTATCAGGAGAAGGGAATAGTCACAAAATCAAAGAGATGGAAGGGAACTTAAAGAATGTTGAGTCCAGTGACCTTATTTGACAGATATAAAATGGAAACTTAGGACAGCTAGGTAGCTCAATGGATAGAGCACTGGGCCTGAAGTCAGGGAGACTCATCTTCAGACATTTACTAACTGTGTTATCCTGGGCAAGTTACTTAATTCTTTTTGCCTCAGTTTCCTTATCTGTAAAATAATCTGGAGAAGGAAATGGCAAACCACTCGAGGATCTTTGCCAAAAAGACCCCAAATGGAGGCATGAAGAGTTGGACACAGACTGAAATGACTGAACAATAACAAAATGGAGTCACAGAGCTAGTAAGTGGCAACACTAAGACTGGAACCTGGAGGTTCTGGAGGCAGGAATTTCCTAAGCTTTTTTCTTTCCATCACCTTGTGTTCTGATTGTGGCTGCTCATGGCTCCATCTGAATGCCACTACAGAAGTCTTTTGAGTGAGCCTTCTCTCTTGCTTCAGGCAACCAGTAAGGGTACTGAAAAAATATTCACCATGAACTTCAGAGGAGGGATTGACTATTTGATAACTTTCTATCTGACACAGAGCCTAGCAAAACCCCTTGTACATAATAGATGCTCAGTGAATGTTTGTTAAATGAATTAGCCAAAGGTCAGTCCACTAAGAAAAAGATAATTTTCAGGTTAATTCTGCTGATTATTTTCAATTACCACCACAAACAACATTAGTGACCCCAGGCAAGGAAAGAATCATAGTATAGTATAGCAGAAAGAAATCTTAGATCTCTTCTGAACCTACCCTTTCCCTTTACTGTTGAGAAAATTGAGATCTGAAGAGGGGAAATGACTTCCTAAAGTTACATGGCAGGGAAATTGCACAGCCTAGACTTAACCTCAGGTGCTCTGACTCCAAATACAGTTTTCTTTCTTATGTACAAGAAGGAAACTTAACAATATTCCTCTGATATATAATCACCTTAATAAAGAACTATAGGATTATGGCATTTGTTTCTGAGGGTGATTTGAGTTAGTCTGGCCTCTGAGTTTTATGGAGCCTCACTCTTCTGAAGGAGAAATGTATCTGGGCAGGAAAAGAATATTGCCAATATAATGGGCAAATGCCTTAAATCAGATTTCCTTTTACTATGTTGAATTGTATACATCTAAGAGATTTTTTAACAACTTTCTCAGTAAGGAAGGAAAAAAATAAAGAAAAAGAAAGTTTGAACCCAAAAGTTA